GTAGTTTTGGTTTAAAATGTAGCAAAAGAGTAGCAGTAATTGGTAGATCCTTCGTTCCACTTGACTTCACTGGCAGTAGCTGTTCCCTTCGACATAAACTTTCAGCTTGTATTTCTTAAGCAAACCCTCCGGCTTGCATGTCCAATCAGTTCTGTTTTTCTTATACCTTAACTAGGCTTTTACATACAAGAAGTGGATACAGAAAGCTCTATGAGTATCGTATCGTATGTGGTAATAAAAAGCCCACCTAAGACTTATTTTTTACACGTCGCATTATGACTTGTGTCTTGTTACGCTGAGTTGCACCACCTAACTTTGACCGTGATTATAACGATAGTTACGGTCTGACTTAGGTGGTACAACTCAGCTTAACACCGGTTACCGTTGTAACCAGTGTTTTTTGTATGGATTTTGACAGATTTTTGACGCTTGTTAAAGTCAAAGTAAGATGGTGCAATCCAGACTTAGATTTATTACAGTTTCACGTAGTTATGGTGCAATGTGAGTATATCTATATCTATAAAAGCGAAAGGTCACTGATTGACTGACTGACTCACTCACTCATCACGAAATCTTAAAAACTGTAACACCCACAAACTTGAAATTTGGCAGGTAGGTTCTCTTATAGGATGTAGACATCCGCTAAGAACGGATTTTACGAAACTCCACCTCTATGGGGTAAAACGGGGTCCAAGCGTCCGAAGTCGCGGGCGGCCGCTAGTTTTTTATACGACAGAGGTTATTCCACTATTTACTAACATATTTTTACTATTGTTAATCCATCCATCATACTAAACTTTATGACTTAAATCAGTTTTGTATGCAAATGTAGCACATATCGTGCCAGAAATGGCCAGAATACCTATTAACACTTTAGTGGTGTTGGAACTCGCCTTTTTCTAAGTAACCTTACTGAACCCACCTTCATAACGTCTTAAAGTAAACAACGTTGTCTTTAACAAGCTGAGTTACGATGAAATATTAGTTTATAGATTGCCCTACTTTCCTACCGGCGACATTCCAGATTGGTTCTTCCATTTTTTCATCTGGAACATTAAGATTTCCATTTCCTATTGTAATTAAATAGACTCGGTTTATTGATGCCGCTCCACTGCAGGAGCTTTTGCAAGCTTTTTTCAAGAACTTTATCGGCACTTAAGTATTAATTAACGGAATGCGAGCTTTATGTGGAAGTTGTTAAGTTGTTTTGTTTTTTTTTTTGAGCATTTCAATAGCGTTTAATAGCATTAATTAAGTTTATAGTGAATTGTAATACATAATAATTAATTAGTCTCGAAGTAAGCTTAGAATTTACTACGCTCTTTATATTACTATACCCACATACACAATTTAGTAACTATGGTTTCCAGTAGTTAAAATTAATAGAAAATGTTATATTGCGTACTTAGTTATAACAACCTTCTGCTCTCGCAGGTTTGCCTACGTACGTAAAATGGCATATAATAGGCACTTAAATGGTCACAGAAAGTAGGTAATGTATAACAATGAAAATGTAGAAATATCTATTTTATTGGTCACATATTTCTCTAAAATCCACTAAAATTGGTAAACCAGTAAAAACTACACAGACAGCAACTTGAAATAAGCATTCATAATAATATCAGAGTAGTTTGAGTGTTTAATACAATTAAATATAACCACAACAAAACAAATTGCATAAACTCAACAAAAATAACTAATGCTAAGTCAAGGGCGTCACACGGCTAACTTACCCAAGTAAAACTGGATTATGAAACGTAAATGTAACGGTATGTGAGACACCTAAACAATACCGTTTCGAAAGAAACACTGCAATCACTTACTGGTACGTTTATTCACTTAAAATTGCATAAATGAGTTATGAATTTTAGTTTATGGGTTTTTCTGTTTCAATTTACTCGTAGTTATGTGGTTCAGTTAGCGACCTAGTTTTATACTCGTAATTTAGTTGTAATTTGTGTATTTTAAAGGGTACTATTTTGTAATACAAAATAGTCTGTTGTTACAGCTCAAGAATTGACAGTTACTCACCAGTTTCCGGTAATTTAAATGTTGATCATAATTAAATATCTTATAATTTAAGTTTAGATACAAATTCACGTTTATATGAATTAAATTATGGACAATGATACCTTACCCATAATTATATTATTTGGAAATCTAGGGTACAACATTATCATTTGTTCCAACCAACGAATTTATGAAACCATCGCCCGATGTTCAATTTAAAGTCGATTCACTGCGGAATGGACAATAAAATGAAAAGCCCGCAATTTTATGAACAATCAAAAAATTTAAAACGAAACATTCAAAAAGTTTGCAGCGATTGAAATGTCGTTCGTCGCTTTGCGTGATAAAACCGAATAACCGATTCCCAAAGCACACGAAAATCTCGCAACCGGTCTTTACAATACAAAATCGTTTTGAGGTGGAAATGACGCGAAACATACATCGATGCGGTCATTTTACAAATCGATCAACAACCGCTCAATCTGAATTTTGGTAATGGCTGTTGAAATTGCTTGTAATAAAATAAAGGTTGCGCCATGCAATCGATATGTGATATTATTCGTTGGGTCGGTAGGTCTACTCTCTGGTAAACCCAGGGAAAAATTAGCCTTCGATAATAAGTATGAGAATTATTGGACTCTATTCAATACTCAAATGGGACACATAAAGAGTGATATCATAATTTATGTTGGTAATTCGTTTCGTTCGTTTCAGCCACGTCGTGGACGTCCACTGCTGGGCGAAGGTTTCCCCCAAGGTAGGTAGGTTAATTTCATTGTTTGCAATTTAGTGGACATTCCAAGCTTTAATTAACCTGATTGTGGACGTTGAAGAGTTTTATACTCCGGATAACACCACATTGTCGTGGCATCAGAATTTCAGAATCCTAATAAAAATATTTTTTTTATTCTTCATAACAATAATTCTGCCATATTATCGATTATTCATTTATTATTACGCATTGCGAATAAAATACATATTTTTGTATCATTACAAAAAGTAAAATATAATGAGTATTTTTTGTTAGTAATAAATATTGATACGATTTTTTAATACAGAAATCTGGCAGTTGAATAGAATAAAACTAAACAGCAGTTAATTAAATTGAACTGCGGGTTTTCTACACGTTTTTCACTTGTGACAGGAGGACAAAACAATGCAATTATTAAAACAACATTGACTATTTGGTAGGCGTAGATTTAATAACTGATATGTGAGCTTGGGGCAACGATTTTAGGCATGCCAGTTATTGTTTCAATAATAATGCTAAGTATTTTCGTTTTAAAATCAATGTGATTGTACGATAAGAGGATATTCAAGAGATACGTAGCAATTTTGTTAAAGCTCATTTGGAAAAAGAAGCATTGGTAGAAGAAATTGGTTGTTTTTAGATAAATGAGAGGTTAAATAAAGCGAAATGATTTTTTTTAAACAAATCACATAGATATACGTTGTATGTAATCTTAGGTACTTAAATGAAGTTTGTAGTGCCTAGGTAGTTCGTAAATTGATAAAAAAGCAGAGAGCTGTGTGCTCTTGCAGAAGGAATATTGTATTAAATTCATCGTAAGTGTATCTATAATTTAGTTAAATAGTTGTGTGTCACTAAGTCTCAGTTTATAAATAAATCCTACCTATAGTTATATCTTTATATTACTTTTCTGTATGTCAATACACTCGTAATACATTAAGGCAAATACGTCGAATCCCTGGATTGTGAATAATGAATATAAATATTACCTTTGGATTTTCCTTATTGAAGTGAAGCTAATCCTGTATTCGAATCGAACTTTCATTTATGAGACCGTTAAGTATTTGCTTCGTGTGACATTTTTTCAATATCATTAGTTTATAACTAAGCTTAAAGGAAGAAAATGAGTACCTAATGTAGAGTATTTATTAACAATATGCCTTAATAAGCTAATAAGGTAAGTGGAAAAGCTTTTTAATCTTCAAAGTGAATTATTTTACTTCGCAAAGTGAAAGAACTCATCCATTTCTAACAATACCTAGGTGTACTTTAAAAGAAGATCATTGCAAATTGCTACATAAGAATTCTAAATAAATAATATGCTAAAATAAACTAAAATTACTTTGTTGCTCAGATACGTATTGAGAGTTCAAACGCGAACTAAGTACAATATCATTATAATAATGCAAGGTAACCAAAAGTAGGCTTTTGCGAGTGATAGTAACTTCTGCGTTCTACCCACTAACGACGAAACCGGGCTTCAAACTTATAATAATGTTTGTAGTTTACGTTTACCTTACGATGCTCCGAAAGTCGCCGCCCAAAGGAAGCTGAATGCTCGGAGTTTAAACCTGACTCCAGTCTCACCACTACTTTGCCCAGTTACAACTTTTGCTCAAACCACTGACTGGACAAAACGAGACAACCACCGGAAGTCGCTAAAATTCAAATTAGCTTATCACTTGTCATTGAAATAACTTTTAATTACACGTTTAATTCTGTTTTAACAAATTACGGAAACGAATCCCCGAAATGTTAATGCTTCATTCTAGTTTGATTGACGTCCATTCAAATGTTAAATCGCAACATTATTTGCATTCCAATGTTCAGTTTCTCATTAATCCGCATTGTCGATCCGCGAATAAACCACTGATTACACGCTGATAAAGTTGGATATTTGTGCGTTATTGCAGTATTGGTATCTGACCTAATAATAACTCTGGTAAATGGAAAGCAAGGCGTGGCAGCGGACCGGTTCGAGCAGTATCCTTGTGTTAGTAAGGTGATCTAGTTGCCGACAGTTCCTGCGGTAGAATGCGGACGCGGTCCACGCCCGCGCAGGTATGACCAGGAAGTCTGCACTTACTTTTTAATGGGTACTATATACATGATATTTCATGTTTAAGCAATCTCTGTAATACCTCGTTTTCATAAGACATTTAAATAAGAAGGAAGAGGAAGTCAGGAAGAATACATAATTTATTTGTGTAATTTCCAAAAGGGGTCAAGGAAAGTCAAGTTCATTCAGCTAATCCTAAATTTATTTACAAGATCAGTTTACACCAACAGACGCGCGCCTGCTCACCCTCGGTTACATTTAACAAAAACGTTCAACATATGTAAAACTGTCCATTCATTCACAATATCACAGCGTACAACAATCAAGAAATGCTTTTGAAGCGGCCGCGTACGCACGTAGCGGTCGCTCCCCCATGACTCGGCGAGTTGCTAATTGATCCGTGCTTTTACATGTGTGGGCTGCACAAACCGCCGGGCCCTCTCGATACATTAGACTTAAACTTTGTGGAAGGAGTAAGTGTAGCCGTCAGGCGCACGGTTCAGGCTGAACTTGCCGGGCGGGAAGAAGCGGGAGGGCGGCGGCGTCGTGGGCTCGTCGTAGTACTGGGGCTGGTGTTGGCTGGGCGCTGAGTATTGCTGGTTCTGGATTCCACTGTACTGAGCTTGCTGCACTCCAGGGTAGATGTTGTTATTCTGGTACTGAGGCTGAGGTTGAGCCTGGTATTGAGGCTGGGGCTGGTACTGTGGCTGCGGCTGATACTGTTGCTGGGGCTGGGACTGGGGCTGGTACTGCTGCTGGGGAGCAACGTAGTTCTCCTGCTCGTACAGCTCAGGGTGGTACTGTCCATCATCCTCGTTGGGCTTGCCGCCGTAGCTGCGGGTGGGGGCGGGCGCGGTGTACTGCTGGGGCGCACTGTACTGATTCGCTTTGTAATCCGGAGGGTTGTAACGTGGGTCGGGCTGGTATCCAGGCGTGGGCGCGACGGGCTGAGGCGCAGTGGGGATGTGGTCTCCTACGGCTTGGAAGCCGTTCTTTCCTGCGATGTAGCTGACGGTTTTCCTCTGGCCGCTGGGGTCGATGTAGGAGTAGCTGCCTCTCCTGTTGCCGTCAGCGTCGGTTTCCTCTTTGAAGTCGATCCCATCCTCCTGTTGGTACGCAGCGCCGAAGGCTCCGTTGCCGCTGAGGTACCGTGCCTCCTGGAGGATGGCGGCGGTCTTCGGGTCGCCCGCGTATTTGGGGACGCGGCGTCCTCCCTCTTGGCACGTCACGGCCGCGATCACAAAGGCTAATATGGCGAGCCTGAACATTCTGGCAAATGTACACTGCCCGCGTGAAAGTAACAAAGTGTGTCGTTGCGGGCGGGTGAACTCATTTTATACGGATAGTAAAGGCCTTGGCTAGCTGGTATTGGAAGGGCCAGCGGGCGCGACCGCGAAAATCACACGCGTTCAAAGTTCTTGTGCGCATGGGATGCGTGGACACATCAGGGAAGTGGCATTAAGAGGACGGATACATGTGTCGTCCTTTGCTCGAAATGTCTACTGGTTTACGATCTCATTAACCATTAATGGTTTCTTTGTCGCTCATTATTTAGATTTGTGAATGGCCTATTTTCGATAATTGGAAGTTAAAATTATTTAGAATCGTGTTTTTTTATTTTTGCACTAAACGCGTAAGCTTGTGGAAAGGTTGAAAAATATTGATAAAATGTACTGTTATAGTTTTTATATTATATTAGCAAATGCTAAAATTAATTAGGTCACTAAGATCGAAGACGGAGGCTAGTATTCTAATTAACTTTGAAATACATATTCAACTATCATAAATTCTTAATCATGTCTACAATGCATGTTGCCGTTTTTATTTCGTTCGCAAGTGAAATTGCTAAAGTGATTACAAGATTATGGTGCAAATTCCTTTGTTGTCAACACATTACCCCGATAACCGTATAAGATCTACGTTGCACTACATTCCCACGTCATTCTGCCGGTTTGCGCAAATTTTTACTTTGCTGACTTTGTCTCTACATTTATTCTTTACGAGGCTTTGTCTTAACTGATTGCAATTGATCCGTGTCAAAACTTTGTAACGTAATATCTTTTTTTAGGAATGTTACTATGAAAAATTGTATCTTATTGTTACAAATTCCTAATACCTACTCAAAGGTTACGAACTTACGATTGAGCATGTTGTTTGCGTATTTATCGCTAGAAAGCGATTTATTTCAGGCAACCCATACAGAGATAGAAAGAGAGAAATGTGTTTGAAAATATAGAAAACAAGTTGATCGAGTAGTTCAGTGCTTCGTCCAACAATTTGCAAAATTTAGTCTAAACAGTCAAATAACCAACTGGGACTGACATTACTGTCATCATAAATAAATAGATATTAGCCCACAACTATGTAATCGTGTAAATATTCCTATGAGTGCAATACTAGTTGGTGCAGTTACTATGTCGTTGATGAATTAAATTAAGTATCGATTTGTCTGATCACTGGTCGTGATAATACTTAAATGCAGCTCTAGTTGACCATGGAATTGAGAAGATGCTGGACACTGGTATCTGGTGGTGACTCAGCAAAGCTTATTTACGTAACTAAATATAATAATGCTTACTTCTGTCTGTGTACCTTTACTTGGCGGTCAAGCTGTAGATCTTGGCTACACAGGAGTTGCAGCGGTGGGAACGAGAGGTGGGATTAGTCCCGTTACCTTTACTTTGCTTGTCTAGATTGTTTTGTACTCAGTTTCGGTACAGACGTAAGTACTAAGTATTTGTATGAATTTCACTCTTAAAGAAATATTACTATTCGTAAAAAAGTAAAATGAAAAATTACATTAATTACAGAAAAGAATAGTTTAACTTAAAGGTAAGTTTGCGATAGGGGCAGAAACTATTCATAAATACGAGTAAAATGTTTTTATTAAAGAAAGTCTTCTATGTTTCAGTTAGTAATTAAATTATTTAGCGAAAAATGTTTTTATTATTAACCTACTTATATATTTTCCTTAGGACATTTTCTAAGCATACCGTGGCTATAAGCCGTGGGCTTGTTAAATGACATACTTTTCTGTTGACGAAGTTTTGTAAGATATCATAATTATAATAAGTCATGTAAAACATTACTATGTTTTAGATGAACGTTCGTATTCGCAAAGCAATTTCGTTCATAAATTCAAGCATTTTAAGTAAACTCTCGGGTGAGCGAGCACGTGGAGACCGACCTTGTAGTTGTATTACTTATGTAACTAGTCCAATGTAACTTAGACTCTGCTTGACATCACATTCAATTATACTAGAACATTTTCTGTTATACTAGTTTAATACACGTTTTATACATTCATTGTGTAGGCAAATAAAAAAATTGACAACTTTAACATAACATTACATTGTACATACCTACATTACTTTACACAAAGACCAGTGTTAATGCTATAGACGTACCGACATACTCTTCAGTTCCTAAAATAACTGAGATTTCTACGTTAGGCTAGGCCTGTCATGTACAAATTTATTTATTGGTTTGGCAATTTTAACTTTTTTTGGTATCTTTTAAATATATCTATCTATATTTAAAATAAACTCTAGTCTTCCTAATATGAATAAATAAATCTTCATCATTTATTTTAGATCGAGAAAAAACGTCGGTCATGCATTAAACAATATTCAAAGCCCGTCTTATGAATTATCAAACAAGTATGAATCTAAAATTAAGGGTAAATTCGTACCCGTGATTGATTGGTTTCCAATATTTAGACACAAAATTTAGTCTGTACCTACTTCAAATTTATCGGTGATTAATTTTCAATAGATGCAAGATCCCGGGAAGGGACATAGGATAGTTTTTATCCCGGTTTTTGAAACAGGGACGCGCGCGACAAAGTTTTTCTGTGACAGACAAAATTTCACGCGGGCGAAGCCGCTGGCAACAGCTAGTGACTAATAAATTATAAACAATTACTAACATTTCTTAAATAAAAGACTGGGAAAATGGTTGCTTGTGTAGAAAACTTTCTTCGTTCTTTGGAGCTAAGAACTTATATCGTGTAAACCTTCGCGAGCTTGAAATATTAACACCGTAAAAGTTATCTAGATTCATAAGCATTATCAACAGCCTTTTTTTGTTTTTTACACAGACCATAGTTATTTAAAATTAAATCTATTTGATAATGAAAAGAGAAATTATGTATTTGTATCTTTCAATAGTTCAATTACTGTCCTCGTTATTCAGTTTTTTTTTGATTCAATATAAATGTATAATGAGAAATATTAATTAGTTGATCTATTTTAGTTTACTAATGCTAACAATGTTATTCGATACTAATAAAAAATAGTTTTAGATAGGTTTCAGTACTGATTAATTAATGTATAGCTTATTGCTAATTTTACATCAAGGACCTTGAATGTCTAGGTTTAAAATTAATCATAATACTTTTAAAACTAAGCAAGAAAGGTAGACAGAATTTAAGAACCTGTCTTTGTAGTAATCTGTCAGCTTTAAAAATAATCTGAAAATAAGTAGACACATAATAGATAGATAAAACATAAGTTACTTATATTTTGCTAATGCCCAACCTAACATGACTGGGTAGAAAAAAGTCTCCGTAACTTTTTCAAACAAACATCATCAAACAAAACTATCCTGAAAGTGAGCGTATTGCGCTACATTTCTTATAGTAGACAGTTTTTGTTACGATATTTTTTCATTTCCTTTACCCCCAAATTAGAGGGGCGGACGAGTACAAAATGGATGACAAAGCGAATGCTGTGGACCACCCAGTTTGGAGCCAAGTAACCATAAAGTACTGTGTTTACGAAATTCACGGTTTGCCTTCTCTGTACCTGAGCGAACATACAAAGAATGTTTTGTTTCGGAATACAATAGTTGAATAGGTTTGAAAAGTTGTTAATTAGTGTAACAATTTGTGTCTTTGCAATTAAAATCTTCCAATTAACTTAGTTGTTGGATGTATTGTTTTCTAAGTACGACTAGGGTCAGTAGTTCTCCATTAGATTGGTAATAGGCAGTCCTGAAACTCCAGCCAGTAGTTGCGAACATCTGGAAAAAAGTATGGCGAAGAAAGAACAAGCTGCAAGGGTTTTAGAGACGAAGATCTTAAATTAGCAATAAAGACTATCTATCCACCAGTTCATCCACTGAATACTCAACTAGGTATGAGAATACAATATGATAGAGTTTATTTTAGTTTAGTTACACACATGAACGATAATACTTATCTATCCAAGATACAAATCAGTCCTATAGGCAATTAGACATGGGATGACTGTTAGATGATCACAAGTTTATGTTAATAATGTTTGTAACTTTCTGCACTTTGACAAGTGATTAATTATATTACCTATTAAAATCACTTCTTGTTACCGGGTCTAAAAATCAATTGTTTTCTCTGTATGTAAAAGTGATTGTGCCTATATCGGTTAGTCAAGTCATGCGCACTGTGCGTGTAGGCTTACCTACAAATTCCAAAGGAGTCGGACTCAAATTAAATGTATCAAACGAGTACGGTTAATGAATGCATACTTACATACGAGTATACCCAAAGGTCGCTGGTTGCCCGCATTCAAGGTCTCCGATTCGACTTGCAGTCGTTTGTGTCGTTTTCTGTACCAGACCAGAAGTTATTGTAAATTCACCTTTAGAGTTCACGGTGAATGGCAATGGAAAGATTTCTTTGGCTTGCCGGATGTTTCGACATTTCGACATTTCTTGTGCGCGTGCGACTATTTTAGGAAGTTGGTTATTATCTGGATTAGTCTAGTTACTTAGATATGGAGGAGTTACCCGATTATTTTAAATTGCAAAAAAAAAATGTTTTATTTTTCTGCTATTTACATATTATTCACTCAAGATTACCTACCAACCAATAATTGAATAATCTACATATTAATACGAGTAAGACTAGATTTTTATGCTGAGTTGCACTATCTTTCTTTAACTTTGACAAACGTCAAAAATCTGTCAAACTCCATACAAAAAGCACCGGTTATTGTTACTGTTACGCTAAAATAAGGTGGTGCAACTCAGCCTAAGTTCTGATTATAAATTTTACAACTTATGATTTAGTTATACCTACTCGTATAAGTAATTAGTCCGAAAGCGCTATTTACCTATGATTAATTAGTATTTAGGTCATCGTGATCTACAACTCTACATTCGCTCCTCTCTAGGTACAGACAACTACACATCTATCTGAACACTGAGGCATCTTATGTCGTTGTAATTTCGCTTATTTTGGAACAATAAATGTACAGTCTGATGTGCTCTCTTCTGTACAATACGTACAGAGTTACCTTCTGATGTCGCATCAATCAATTTATAAC